ATCATTTCATACAAAGGAATGGCAAAATTGTTCTTTTATAAATAGAGGTCAACATATTTGTGGAAAGAAAACGGTGGTGTAGTGCATACATACTAAACCACAAAAGAAGTTAAAGTAATAAACGTTGAACGATTTACTTGTGTAATTTTTTTAATTATCAAAAAAGGTCATTATAATTTACTCAAAAAAAAAAAAAAAAAAATTCCAAAAAAATTTAAGTATTATTTTTCAAAAGGAATAGAAATGAAATATGTCCTATTCTAAGTTGTACTTATCCATTAAGACAAAAATAAATAAATTAAATTAAATTGGGCTTTTTTCGAAAACTCTGTATCAGATGGGTTCTAACCTGAGAATCTCAATCCAAAATATCAATTTCTTTTTCATCTGAGCATCTAAGATGGCATATCCAATAATAGGGCTATAAAGGAGGCAACTTTATTTGAAGTTGTTAATGGCACTAGGTTTTGTGTTTGTTAGCTTAATTAGTAGACTATAGGCACTGCTAACTTCAAATCACATGGACACTGAGGAAGATAATTGAAATAAGAGGTCCTTAATAATTGGTTCAATTATTCTTTATATGTTGGAGTGCCACTAAATATTATATGATATTGATATATTTACAAACATAAAGCAAATATTCGAGGGATCAATAATTGAAAGGTTGTCATGGCTGTTGAAACAGTATAGGCTGTTGTTAAAACAAGTATTTTTTTGCATAGTTGTACCCATCTATTGATAGTATAATCATCCTCATCATCATCTTTATTTTTATATCATATAAAATATATAATAAAAGATATATATATATATATATATATATATATTTGTTTGATGTGTTGATTTAAAGAAAAATTGTACTTGTCATTTTATTTTATTTCTTAAAATATGTTGATTTTATTCATACAAATTAAACAATAAAGTACAAAGAAAAGAGTGACCATTTGCAGATCACAAGAAATGGAAATATAAATAAAGAAAGAAAAGAAGATATAAGATAAAATAAAAGAATTATTATTTTTTATTTCACATGTCATTGCCACTCTTCTTTTTTCTATTCTTCGTTTTAAATCATTTTTAATAATTTTTTTTTTTTTTTCAATTTCTAGTTTTATTGAGCATGAGAGAAAATCTATTTCTCTATTTCTTTTCATTTTCCTTGCTAAATCACAAATATGGTCACCCAAAATTATTAGGATTGTGTCTCAAATTTTATTGTAATTAGGTTTCTATTTTCAAATTATATTTTATTAGGTATAACTTATTAGACAAGTTATGGTTTATAAAGAATTGCAATGGTTCTTTATCAAGGAATTTGGTTTTTGACTTTATAAATAGACACTTAAATTATTATTGAAAATAATGAGAAGGAAAGAGATGTAGCTTTGTAAGGGATGGTGAGTGAACAATAATAACGAGAAGGATTCTCGTGGAGTGATAAATGGGGAAAAACTCTGGGCAAAAGTTTGTACGTGCGTTCCAGTGTTTAAAGCCTTTTCATCCTCATATCTAGTGTTTTGTTACTTTACTTATTTGTCTTGTATTGTTTCGTTGTGCCCAATAAAAAAATAATAAAGCAGCTATCTAGAATGTTCATCTTATCTTTATTCCCATGGGTAAGTTTGGTTATATATATATATATATATATATATATATATATATTTTCTTTTCAGTTCAGTATAAGAATGTTAAACTAGAAGTTAGAGGTGCAAATTCGGCCTCCAAAAATAACGGAGAGCAATCCAAAAACTGAGTTACAAAGGCATTCGCAAACACTTATGAGTTTGGCTATAACAAAAAGGAAATTTTTTTAAAAACTAAAATTCTATGTGATTAATTTTTTCCAAAAGGTTGCTAGTATGAAATACTAGAATATATATATATATATATATTTGGTTTCATGTAAAAGTTATATCTTTATATTTTACGTTTCTATTATACCCATCATAAACTTGTTTATATATTATCTTCAATTGTTACTATTTTACATGGTAGGTCATTTTGAAGAAGCTTAATCAACAAAATATATTACTTTGGTCATGTTCTGATTAACATTATGATAAATGATCCCTACAATTAAATTCATTTTTTTAAAAATATTACACATATTATAAATATACATATTCTTCCTAACCTCATTTTTTGAAATCATAAGGATAATAGAACAGTTTTTTTTTCACTTTTATACTATTCAAATCGATACATAAATATCTTTCACAACTTTCTGATAAAATTTTCATGCTACCCATACTGATACTAACCAAATCGTAGTGTTTCATCCAGATTTGAATAGCATTAAAATATCCATTTAACCAAACCGACCCATTAGGAAAACAATAAAACCCTCTCTTTCAGTACATGATAAACAAAGATAAAATGATGGAACCACACTAGTCTCTTGATGGAACTTTCAATAATGAAGTGGATGTCCATTTCAACAATGCTAGTAGCCCAATGGTGGGATTAGATAGGTGACCTCTTCTATAGACTAGACATCCTCCTCTAGCATCCATTAACATTCTCCTCTAGCATCCTCCTCTTCTTGGAATCTTTACCTAATTGGGGGTGATCGATTAGACAAATCTGAAATTGTTCTTGTCTGCCCACTAATTTGTTGTTTTTCTTTTCATGCCACACACGTGTGTGTTGTGTGTTAAATGTGGTTTATAATGTATGGCACAATTGTTTGGGAATCTGATCTGTAATCCCAATTTTTTTGCTCATTTCCATCAGATGTGACCCTCTTCCTAACTTAGACAACAATATTTGGAGCCATTTTTCAATAATTAATGGGTGCCACTTGGGATAATTTTAAGATAAGACTAGTTTATGATTAGAATTTAGCATATCCCAATTCTATTTTGAGTCGAGATAAATTAATAGATGCACATAATCACTCACAAATCATGTACATTGAGTGAATTCAAGAAGAATCAAACCTAGAACATCTGGTTCAGAGCTATCACGTTGGTTAACTCGCTCCTTAACACCCGCGGGGGGTGTTAAAACTCACCCATCCATGCGGGCTCTTGGGCTAGCCCAAGAGAGTTATGGTTCTACGCTGGCAAATCTATCTTGGAGGCATTAATTCATTATTTGAAATTTTAAGTATATACCCAAACTAAGCAACACCAAGCCCAACACCATTCAACCATCCATTGGACCTGTCTTGTCCACGATCCTAGCTGTCTTTTAGCCATACCCATATATATATATCTATAAAATTATTTTTATTTATTTATTTATTTTTAGTTGGTACTCACATACGCTAGTCTCTTTTGAGACTTGAATTTCTGACTTCCCTTTAGGAAGTAAGAGACTGATACCACTAGGCCACGACCCGTTAGTATCTATAAAGTTATTAAATAGTTCTGAATCATTGGTCATGACATGAATAAAAAATTTAATAAAACTAATACATTTACTTGCCTTTCCATAATCATCGTCCCAAAATAATATATACATTTATTTGAAATTTTAAGTATATACCCAAACTAAGCAACACCAAGCCCAACACCATTCAACCATCCATTGGACCTGTCTTGTCCAAGATCCTAGCTGTCTTTTAGCCATACCCATATATATATATCTATAAAATTATTTTTATTTATTTATTTATTTTTAGTTGGTACTCACACACGCTAGTCTCTTTTGAGACTTGAATTTCTGACTTCTCTTTAGGAAGTAAGAGACTGATACCACTAGGCCACGACCCGTTAGTATCTATAAAGTTATTAAATAGTTCTGAATCATTGGTCATGACATGAATAAAAAAATTAATAAAACTAATACATTTACTTGCCTTTCGATAATCATCGTCCCAAAATAATATAATATTTTTTTTCATATAAAGCCTTCTCTATCTTGTCCATGAGAATATATATATATATATATCATGATCCAAATATAAGATCTTACTCCATTGCCAATTCACACACTCAATGCTTCAACTATGTGTACTTTATCACCTAGCAATAAAGTACACATAGAACCCACATTTTGCTGAAGTTACGGACACGAAACTGCAGGCACACACCAACATCAGACAAATGATGTACTCAAATTTTGAGTTACCCACTGCATCACGAAGAAAAAAAACATCATGGGTTAAAATTTTCAGCCACACAAATAAACCTAAGTGACATTATTCATTTTTAACATTAGTTGCACAAAGTGATTACGAAAACAGATGAATGGACAATTTCTTGCCTCGTCGTTTATTCACTGTATAAAAATTGTACCCAAAAAAAAAAAAAAAACTTGAAAGGCTCTCACCATAAGTGCACCTCTAAGCCATTGGAGTGATTAAGAGCACATCATGATAGGCTCAATTTAAAAAATAACAAAATGATTATGCATCACCCTAAAAATTCAACAAAAAATACATTGAACCAGACATGTTAGGAAAATGATTTGTGGAAATTAAACCTCAGAGACATAGATAACCAGATGCAATCAAGAGATTTCATTCATGAATTTCAACACTACCCATATTCCATATCCAAGACAAGAATTTTAAACTAATTTTTTTTTTTTTTTGTTACAACAATGACAAGTATCAAACCCTATAAGAATATAAAATTCTTGTAGACTATAATTAGGCAACCTAAGTGGAATCATGAGGCTGATGATCATCAATATGAATGAACCCTAGATGTTGGCATTGATTGAGCTAGCTAGGATGGCTAAATCAGAAACCCTAATTTATATTGAATATATTCATTGAATTTGGGAGGGAATGAAAGGAATAATCCAGGGTGGTGTGATGAGGTGAGAGGATAAATCTAGGGAAGGGAGTAACCAAGTAGGTGGGTGTTTGAGTAATCATGTGAAAGCATGTGCAGTGAGTTGGAGGATATGACTAAAACAAGCAGCAAAGCCTAAAGGACACTCGGGTCTCTCTCGTTCATTCATCTCCATTCTCTTGGGGATGACTACAGAGAAAACTGTGTGGGCCCATCTTTGCCTATTCCATGTTATCCTCAACCAACATGTATACCATCCCATTTTCCAATAAGCCTATATAAAGTGTTACTAGGAGCTCAAGTGACAACACATATCTTGTTAAGAGTAGTAATTGTGTCATGGGAGCTCCTCCAAAGTCACTCCATGCCCTTGATTTGAAGGGCATGGTCCTAGAAAACAAGGGCACTAGCCAGTCTTCAATTGGTTCTCTATGGAGCAAAGTTATGAAAGCACAAAGCATCAAAACCAATATGGGCGGACATGGAAGGAGTGGTAGGCATAGGAGGATCTTGATGAAGAGGAGGGCATTACTGGAAGGTTCTAGAAGGCCCGTTTATGGGATTGAGAGAAAGGTTAGGACTCTCAAGAAGCTTGTTCCAAATGGGAAGTCCAAGCCCTTGGATGGGCTTTTCAGAGACACCAACAACTACATTGTGCTTTTACAGACGAGGGTCAAGGTTATGAAGATGATGATTCAGCTTTGTTCAAAAACTGATGAGTAAATGATCAATTGGATAGAAGCTAGAGCTGATCTACATATTTCAAGCCTTTTTCATTCCAAGTTTCTAGTAGTAATTTTTGTGTATAAAGTGGAATTGGCTTCTTCTTTTATTTATTTATTATTTATCTTTTTTACCCAATATAAGATAATTGTGTCACATTAAAGTGTAGTAGTAGTACTCCATTATTGTTTGTTGTGTGTTTGAGTTTCGGACTCATATAAATTTTATTATTGACATTTTATATATTCATTTAACAAGCTTCATATTTATAGTAATGGGCTTTAATGAGTCTGGGTCTGTGAAGTCTGGACAGGCTACACGAATAGTTTATCTGGGCCAAAAATGTAATCAGCCACAACACCTAGCAAATCAAAGCGCATCTCTACTCTTCACAATAAAACACACACACATTCGAGGACTTTAAACTCACCGACCCTTTCACATTGGAGTTTGGAAGGTAAATTAAATAACATTAAAGGTCTTGATGATATATATTAAAAATGGTAAATCAATTGTTTATTAAACAAACTTATATAAAAAGATAGATATATATATATATATATATATATATATATATAAATCTATAAATATACATATCGCTCCCATCTTGAATCTTTCAAGACTTGGTTGATTTATTTACCATTTACTTTGATGGATACAGTTTTCACTATATTTGATGGATTTATAATTTAAATACTCGCGGATATAGGAAGGTTGTTAAATTAACGCACTATATCATAAGATTGAGATATGTTCTACAAGTTATGATAATGATTAAGCCTACAGGTTACGATAAGGATTAAGCCGATTGTAAGTTTACATTATATCATAACCTAAGCCCTATAAAGAAAGGGGCTAATCGACGTTTTAAGATATGGAATAGATCCTAACTCAATTTCTTAATTTCTCCAGAGAGATTACTTTGCGCACTAACTTGTTCGTTGGAGCCTACTCCACCGGTAATACATCGGTGCCTGTAAGATCACTTTTTCTTCTCTTTATTCAAGAAGCCATATCAAATTCGGGTTGCGTAGAATCCATCATCAACAGTTGGCGTCGTCTGTAGGAATAGATTTTAGTTCTCTAAACAAAGCATGGTTCGATTGCGATCTGGTCTGGCTGTTGGCGAGGACGAAGCGTTGCAGGCTTCTGGTCAAGGGGACTCGACAGGGCAACCCCCCGTCGTCCCAAACGATCAGAAACGTGTCGTAGCGTTGGAACAACATGTTCAAACCTTAAATGAGGGAATGAACCAATTAGTCCAGCAAAATGCAATAATTCTGCAAATGCTTAGCCTCCCCCAACGAGGTGGGGAACAGTGAAGTACCTAACAATGACTTCCGTAGGGTTGACAATGACGCTGAGCTTAGTCAAATAGGGGGTCAACAGAGGAGCCATCACCATCGGTCTCTTGAACGGAATACCACCAGGCTCCGTGGAGATACCCCTGGTTGTGTTGGCAACAAGACTGAGGACGTCACTTATTTCGATGTGCAGATACAAGATTTGAGAGTTAGGGTTGACGACGTCATGTAAGCGATGAAAGGGAAGGGCCAGGCCATAGTGAACGATCTGGTACAGAAGACCAAGCTAGCATTTAGCGCAGCTGTTTTGAGTTATCCTCTAACTAGCAAATTCAAGATGCCAACTCTTGAGTGCTTTGACGGGACGCGGGACCCTGTTGATCATTTGGAGACCTACAAAACTCTTATGTAATTGCAAGCCATACCGGACGAGATTATGTGCAGGGCTTTCCCTACCACACTAAAGGGTTGGGCTCGTCTCTGGTTTAATAAATTAAAGGCAGGCTCTATTAAAAACTTTAATGAGTTGAGCAAACAATTCATAGGACACTTCATCACTGGGCAGAGGCATAGGAGACCAATAACACACTTATTGAATGTGAAGCAGCAGAAGGGAGAGCCTCTTCGTGATTACATAAGTCATTTTAACACTGAAATGCTGCAAGTAAAAGAGTTGAACGACAAGGTTGCCTTCATACCCTTTATGGGAGGACTACAGACCTCTAAGTTCCTATTCTCCTTGTCAAAGGAAGCCCTTACGAGCATGGTAGAGTTGATGGTTCGAGCGCGGAAGCACATGAACGCTGAGGATGCTATGAATACATGAAAAAATAAAGATGGTGAAGATAAGAGGTCAGATAAAAAGAGGCCAACACCTAGCACTAGGGAGGAAAAGGAATCAAAGTAAAAGAAATTCTCAGGCAGCTAAGCTGACAGATCGTCTCGCCATCCAGTGAGCCCAGGCAGGTATAATAACTACACCCTCTTAAATACATCTGTAGAGCAGGTCTTTCTGCTGATTCAAGATGATCCATCATTGAAATGGCCACCAAAGTTAAAAGCTGATCTAATAAAGAGGTCTCGAGATAAATGCTGCAGGTTCCACTGGGACCATGGACATAACACAGAAGATTGTTTCGACCTCAAAAACCAGATCGAGAACCTTGTTAGTAAAGGTCATTTTATGCAGATTCACAACTGGGAAAGGAAGAGGAGGCTCCAACCTAGCCCGAGAGGGCTGAGATGATCGCCCTCCTCAACACCAACTAATAGGTGAGATCAGAGTTATATCGGGTGGCTTCACTGGTGGTGGTGAGTTAAGTTCAGCTCGGAGGGCTCATGCCATGAAAATTCAGAGTTTTTTAGAGGTGAATGAAGTTGGAGTGATAATTCCTTCAACAAAATTACCTCGAGTTGAGAAGCCGGTCATAACCTTTTCTGAAGAAGATGACAAGGGAATTCACCAGCCCCATGATGACCCTCTGGACTATTCCATCGTCGTCGCTAATTTCATTGTTCGACGAGTACTAATTAACAATAGCAGCTCGGCTGACATACTATTTCTTGGGGTGTTCGACAAATTGAAAATCGGCCAAGAGAATTCACTACAACAAATTTTGGCTCTTGCCACGAAATTTTTTGCCACGCGTAAAATTTTGTGGCAAAAAGTACCTTTTGGCCACAAAATAAATTTCTTGTGGCTAATATATGAGTGTTTGCCATGGAGTAAATTTTTCGTGGCAAATACTAGTTCTTGCCACGAATATTAGGGACGATCTAAAATTTGTGGTAAAATGTCAATTTTGCCACGACGAATTAGGGACGACATACAAAGTTGTGGCAAAATGCTATTTATGCCACGAAATTCTATTCGTGGCAATTGTATGTTTCTTTTGCCACAAACATATTTTCATGGGAAATCACTTTACAATTTGCCATGATGTTATTTTCGTGGCAAATATAATTTTTTGGCACGAAGTTTTTTTTCTCGTGGCTAAAAGATGGATCCTGCTATGAATTATTAGTTGTGGCTATGATATGCTCTATTGCCACATACCTATTTTCATGCCAAATCTATTAGTTATTCGCAACAATGCTTTATTCGTGACAAATAGTATCTTTTGCCACAAATTTTCAATCATTGTGGCGAAATGTCATTTTTACAACGAATTTGTTTTCGTGGCAATTAGGAACTATTTTGCCACGAGTTTTCAATCCTTTTGGCGAAATGCCATTTTTGTCAACGAATTTGTTTTTGTGGCAATTAGGATATCTTTGTTGACTATTATTTATTTATTTATTTAGTTTTTGTAATTCCTTAAATAAGAGGCTTAGAACACCGAATCCCTAAGCAAATTAATTAATTGTTAATAAAAATCCAAAATGGCATTTCCTTTAAAATTGACCCTTTTTAAATACCACTACTTGTCATACAGCAAAGATTAAAAAAAAAAAATGTACCAAACATTCTTATATTGAGTTTAAATTAATCATATTTATAAATATATAAATTCATAATGCAATATTTATAAGTAATTAAAAACTAAAGATATAATAAAAAATATAGATCATATATCAAATCTTACTTCTATTTAGTAAGGGTATAAATAAAAGATTTAGTGATATGGGAACTAAATGGAATAAAAGATCTTAAAAGTACGTAGGATTTTGTTGGCATAAAGCCTTTAACCAAGGACAATCTAGTGATTTTGGTGATTACAAACTATTAATGGTGTTTGTGGACTAATGTTTAATTATATACATCGAGTGTTATAAATGATTCGTCTTCAAAAAATGACCTCAATGAAGCGATCACATCAATGGAAAAGAATGGATACAAAGAGACATGAATTAAGTTGCAAGGAAACCAAATACAAGTCTATCCAAAGATAGCTTGGACCAAAATTAATGAGAAAACAAGCAACTCAAAGAAATTGGAAGAAAGTAAGAATACCTCAAAGTCTAAACAATCATTTATGAACAAAGCTTGAAGAAATGGGTAGAGATAGTATGGTGATTGTTTAGGATTCAATGTCAAAGTATTTATGAATCCATTTAAAGCTCATCTCTATAGGACTATGCATATCATATCATCATTCACATGCATGTTCCTATATTCACTAGCAATAGACACATGAAGTCATTACTAAAAGAATAAGTTAGTTCAAGTTTGCATAAGCTTTGAAAGAACTTAATACTTGAGCTAGAAATGCTAAGACCATGCACACCAATTGATCATATGTTTTATTTTGATCTCTAGAAAGTAGAGTCTAAGGCATTGAACTTACTTTTTCATCCACAAAGCCTTTGTTACCATGACTTGGTAAATGGCTTTACGATTCAGACATTTCTCATGAAAAGCTGTTTCTTGGTTTTTTGGCTGAGTATGGAAAATATGATTTTTTTGAAATAAAGATATTTTCAAAATAATTGTTCCCGGTAATTACTCCTTACACTTTAAATAGCTTAAATTGATTTTATGGGATTTTTCATCAATTCTACATAGGCCTACATGGAGAATCAAGTTTTACCAAAACTTTCCGGATCCCCAATTTGTACTAAAACTGATTTTTTTTTCATTTATTTATTTAGTTACATTTTAATTTTCTTATATTTTTTGTGGTTTATCAATTGACCAATCAGTTCACCAATGTAACTGATCAGATGTGTCCAAGTGGACAATCAGATGCTTTATGTAACCAATTAGATGGATCAAATTTTAGAAAGCGCGATGAAACATGATCTGATCCTACCTATCACTTCTATAATCTAACCGATTAGATGCTCCAATTGCTCGAACAGATATAACATATATCTGATCACTTTAGAACAACAGATAACTCATGTGACCGATCAGATGGACTAAAATTTCAGATTTGGAAAATTAATTTACCCCTAAAGGCTATATTTTTCAAGGGGTTATAAATACACAATGTTTTGGACATTGTGGGGATGCAT